TCGCATTTGAAAGTTCCAACTTTTTGCCTCCATAATTTTCAGATTTGAATTTTTGCGAACAGAGGAGCATAGAGGCATGCGTAGATGTATACACACATAATATGCACATTTTTATATGTATATAACTCAGAATTTCTAATTTTGCTTCATTATGCTAGGGCAAATAAATTTAAAAAACATAATTGGTATCCTAATGCTTTTTTATATTTACCGAATTCCCTTTAGTCGGATCTTTGCGATGTTCGCAGTTCTGATTCCATTAGCCTACAGCCGAGGACTGTACGGGCCAGGATATTTGAAAGCGAAAAGATTGTTTTTCCACTTATAGCGTTGTAAATGATTAAAGACTTACATTTAAAAATCTCGTTTTTTTTGTTTCTCCAATATATGAACAGAATTTTTGGACAAACACACAAACACTCATGGATGTGCGCGTACTGATGCTACTTTTTTATTTGTGAAAAATAAGTGAGAAGAGAGGCCGAATTCACTTATTGCTCATTCATTACTTTTTTTCGATACTTTGTTTAGCTGTTTTTTCATCATTGCGTTTCTTCTCGTCATGACCTAATTTCGAACTCGACATTGCTAACTCAGTGTAATTGAAAATTTCCCTCCCTTCCTAAATGTTAAAGAAGAATTCCTCTTCAAAAGAATTCCCTGAATTTTTGTGAATAATTAAATTTCTTGTTCCGATTAATTCGTTGTTTTTGACTCTGCTTTGAAATGCTTTATTTTTAAAAATTAATTTTACTTCTACATTATATTGAGAATTAATCTAATGTCAAGAATACTAAAATCGTCTTGCGATCAGCATAGATATCCTATATAAGTGATATTAATGGGACGCTTCTATGACCTGACGCAGAAAATGATATTTAAAAATTAAAAATTTTAAAAATGCTTTAAAAACTCACTAAAATAAATTAAATATAAAAATAGACGCGATTTTCAATTTGAAGTTCATCAAAATTACATTTCGTACGGTGCCACAATTCTGCTAATATCATCCGAATGCTTTAAATTTAGGTTCAGACAACTTCGCTAGTTAAGGATCATGAACTTACTTGCGTACATTTTCGTTTCTGTCAAATCGAAGTCGCATACTTCTTAATAACACTCCTTCTGTGACAGGTGGAGGTTCTCAAGGAAATTCTAGTGGTAGCATATGCTAACAGCGACCATTTGCCGACAGAACTGTTGATGACGCTATCTTTCGAGAGTTACTTTAGAGCAAACCAATGACAGGTTTAATTTTCAAGAATATGTCAGTAGCAAACTACCACTGAAATGAATAATAAGTCGTCGGGAGACTGCTTTCTTTTCGTGATAGATTGAAGTGCGTCGATTCGCGCTTAAGAAAATCGTTGCCAAGCTGTGCATATTTATCAACTTAAAAAAGTTTTTTATCACTCGGATCTTTTTTTGTGGCGAACCAAAATCTGAATGAATGCAGCTTTACAAAAAAGGGACGGGCAGTTCTGGCATCGGCGAGTGTGTGCGTCTCAGTGGCTTCGATCAGTATTCGGACAATCTTGACGATAAGTGTGGGCGGAAAGGCTAAAAAGTTTGGACTATTAAAACACTCTGTTAAAAAAATTTCAAAATTTCGTCAAAAAGATTAGAACGATTCAATTCCTTATAAGTTTAGGCAAAACTGGATAGCTAAAAGATACAGGATTTTCTGCAGTGGTTCCAAAAACTGTCCACCAGTGGTTGGTCATTTGATCATACATGGTCAGGTAATTGGTACTACTAAAGTGCATCATGGAGTAACTGCATTCAGCGTGTAGAAGCGTTCCAGTAACATCACTAACATACTGTTCCCAGAACAACTGTCTGGGTGGTCTTGCTATTATATCTCAAAAACAGGTTCTACGTGTAGGAGACAACACATAGCGTAAGTATTTGTCCTTATTAAGCCAATTGTTTTAGCCAGAAAAACCCCCGCGTCTAGTTTTTGTAAGCAGAAAATTTGTTGCAATTTGCTGAGGATGTTGATGATCACTGCGTTCCTGTGCAAATAGCTGTAATAATAGCACACATTTGTCGGCCTGCATTTCGTCCCCACCTTCCTACCAGGTCCTTTCGCATCCGTGCTTTAACCGCTTCCTCTCCTGCCTTTCATCTAGTTTTTGTTGATCTTGCGAAGAAATATACTATTTTTTGCGGATTTCCCCTTAAAAGTTGAAGAAAATTATCACTCATCACTCAAAACTCAAAAGTTTGGTGCTATATGTGATAGTCAAAGTGGCTGATAAGTGATAATCAATGATAAATTGTAACTCTTGTTGACCTTATGAGAAATATGCTATTTTTCTGGATCTCTCCCAAACTGATAAATGAACACTTATCAGTAACTGAAGGCCATCATTTTGCTAATTAGAAAGGTTAATTTGTTTTTATTTGTGATAAATTTTCACTGTATTAACGGCCCCGCTCAATATCATTTTAGCGCAGCTCTTTTAAGCTATCGTTTCCACCATTAGTTCCATAAATATGTGCCTCAAAATTGGCCAATAAACTTGTCATGTTATTCGTAACTTTATTAAGATATCGCCAGTCATCATTAGTTTTTTATGCGTTTTTGCTGTGCAGCGCTATAGCGCTGCTACAGCCAGCAAAAACGCATATT